GGAGGGTAGTAAAGCACTGGAACAGGTTACCCAGAGAGGTTGTGGAATCTCTATCCTTGGAGGTTTTTAGGTCCTGGCTAGACAAAGCCTTGGTTAGAATTGCCTAATTGGGGGTGGTCCTGCTTTGAGCAAGGGGTTGGACTCGATGACCTCCTGAGGTCCCTTTCAACAGTAATGATTCTATGTGTTGTTTTGTTCTATGTATGTAGAATGAAATAAAGAGTCACTGCAGATTACCTAAGGCCTTGGTTAAATTTTGCCCAGCTCAGCAATGACTCATACCTGTTAGCTTCTGTTACTTATGACCTAACATAGGATGAGAACTGGTGGCTATCCATGTAATAGTATAAGTGTCCCTAGAGCTAACTGATACATTTTCTGACAGTTTCAACAAAGGCATAGAACTATCTACCAGATACTAATAATAAAGAGAGTTGGGGCCCATTGAGAAAGCAGCCTAGAGAACCTAGTACTGTTGCAGACTATGTGCTTTCTGGTTACCTGGGCAGAGGACATCAGTCCCCAATGCTTTTAAGCTGGCAGATTTCAAGGGCAGTAAAATGATCAAATACAAAAGTAATACATTTCTGTTACTCATCTCAAATGCTCATTTTAGGAAAAAAGGTAACATAATGATTTAAATGTTTATTAAATCAGGTAAATTTTGGAGACATCTTTAAAGCCTGAAGTTAATGCATAGTACAATAAAACAGTTGTATAATTCATGTTCTGTATTACACTAGTGAGGCATGTTTTGCTCAGAACAAGTACAGTTGTTTTCACTTTTAAGTTTTTAACTCTGTTAACCTATCACTGCATGTTAATTGTACCTTCTAATTTCCCCCTCAACTTGCTCTCACTGATATCATTCACTTGCTTGTTTTTAACATTTACTGTAAAAGTGCTTGAATTTGTCTGCCTCCTGCTACTCCTCCTCTTCACTGATGTGCTAAGTAATATGTAGACATGTATATAAACCTGGGCCCTTTCCCAAGGGGCTGACAACCTTTACGCATTTCAATATTTTCTAAACTTCCCAGCACTACGATTCACAGCGCTGAATTCTCTTAGTTCATCCTGCTTGCTATGGCAGTCATTGTTGCTGTTGTTGTGTTTTGTTTGTTTTTTTTTTTAATTAAAATATTCAACAGGAACATTTCAATCTAGCAAAGCACTTAAGCAACTGCTTATCTTAAAGTATGCAAGTTGTCCTATTGATTTCGGTGTACAGTTAAAGTTAAGCACCTGTCTAAATACTTTGCTGGTTCAAGGCCTATCATAGAAAAGAAATGTGACTTAAAGCCAGTGCATACTTAACTGCCCATCACAATAAAGGAATAGCCAGTAGCCCAGCATCTAGTTATTGAGAGAAATAGGAGAACGGCTTGTCGCTTTTCTAAAAAAATATCAGAGTTTTTCAGCTCTGCCCCTCATGTTTTCTGAGCCATAACCACAGGTAGTCACCTTGGTTTGAATGGAAAAGATTTCTTGCTCTACAAAGTCACTTTAGGGCAACAGCACATTGCAATAATAAGGGTAAGTTAGTTCAGAATTGTTATTACCACTCATTTGATGTCTAATTTTTAGGGAGGGCAGATTATTCTCATATAGATCTAGCAGAAGATTCCACCAACCTAAAGGACAGCTTTGCACACAAAGTCAGATCTACCAGAGAGAGACAAAGGCAAAACATGTATATTAAATAAATGACAAGCAGAGCACATTTACATGTGTGCTTTAATGGGAAGTAGCCTATTTTAATGTACATTAAAGCATCACAAAAAAACTGTGCGCTTTCACTAGGGCTCATTAAAATTCACTAATGCACCCTGTTCTAGTACCTCACAATGGAGATACTAAATTTAATGCACATTAGCAAAAGTGCATTAATAAACATGTAGACATGCCCACTGAGGACCGAATTCTGTTCTGTTCAAATAAAGTTAATCCACTGAAGGCTGAAGAGAAACTGTAGACTTAAATCAGTGTACATGAAAATTGAACCATGATCCCCAAATTTTTCTAGTTATGGTTTCACCGTTAATTTTTTCTCACCTTCCTTACTTAGGAAAACTGTATCTCCATCAATTTAGCTGCCAGTTGATTTACAGTACTCTGAAGCTGACTTATGTACTACAGTTAATATTAGTACTGGTTTCCTGATTCAGAACTTGAATGGGCAAAGTCTTGCTTTTCCCATTGCTACACAACCAGGGGATGAGGTGGACAAAGGTCCCCAAACTGCCTATACAGGAGTGACATTACTTAGACTGTAGAAATCCACATCTTGCATACCACACAACTTTCCAGGTGCTTTAAAAGAAAGAAACATTTGTTGGTTTTGCCCCTCCCTCCCCTTCCTCTCCCGCAGTGATTAACTCATTTGTGATGTTATTCCTGGAGAAGTAATGAGCTCCTTATGGAATTCTCACCATGGAGTTTCCAGTACAGTGTTTGCCAAAAAAAATGCTACAGTATTGTTTTGTCTTGTTCTTTCTTTATGCCCTTTAGGCATCCTTAATGAGGACAGCACTTAAGCACGCAATGAACTTTACACATAAACCTGAAATGAAACCCATGCTCAATAGTTGTCCTGAAAAGGGATGGACTTAAGAGTGTGCTGAAGTGTTTTCTTGAGTTGGGAGCCTTAACTTATTATTTCGCAGATGATTAGTTGTGGTTTTTTTCATTGTCCAGAGAGTTTGCTGAAGCTGTGCTGTAAATTATCTGGTGTTGAGGAAAACATGTAGAATTCTGGAGGCTCAAAAAGCATAACGGCTTAAGAAATGCCATACTGAGTTAGATCACAGGTTTAATTCACCCTGTGTCCTGGGCAGAATCTGGATCACACCCTTCCTTGTGGGATGGATCTGTGGGACCAGTGGCAGTGATGGGGGCAGTGCTAGGGATGGGGCAGGTAACCCTTAAGGTGGTAGTGAGGCATGCAGCAGTGACAGCAGTGGGTCAAGTAGTCAGGGGGCGAGTGGGGCTGTGTCAGTATAGCCTTTAATTTCACCCCTGCCACCAGTGGCCATGTCCACAGGGCCCTTCTCTCTGCTAGCCCTGACCCTAAATTCCCTGACCCATCAGCATCCCAGTAGGTTCAAGTGAGTAGCTGCATAGGCTAGATCTGGCCCAGTGTCCGTATGTTTGACACCCTTGATTTAGTCCTATATCTTGTCTATCAGTGGCACAAAGTAGATGCCAAGGAAAGAATATTTATGCAAGACCTATCTAGGATCACAGAATCATAGAAAAGCAGGGCTGGAAGGGACCTCCAGAACTCATCTAGTCTAACTCCTGCCTGGGACAGGATCATCCCTGTCCAAACCAGCCTATACAAATCCCTTGTGTAACGCAGGGTGTCTCAACCTTTTTCTTCCTGAAGCCCCACCTAGCATGCAATAAAAACTCCATGGTCCACCTGTGCCACAACAGCTGAGCAGACCCCCTGAAACCCGCTCGTGGGTCCACAGGGGGCTGCAGACCCCCAGTTGAGAATTGCTGGTCTAACCTACACCACAAGACATAACACCTTAACCTGCCACAGGAAAAGCAGGGGGAATGCAACAGCCAATGTCCTGCTGCTGCAAGATTGTAAAAACACGCTCGAGAGACCCAAGGAAGAGGGCCATGCCTGCCACTACAGAGGAGGGTGAAATCCCCCACAGTCCATACCAATCTAATCATGGGGTAAAATTCCTTCCTGACCCCAAATATGACATTTGATCTCACCTTGAATGGATGAGCAAGATCCTCTAGTCAGGAGCCTTTGAGCTTAAGTCACAGCAGGACATTTGGACACTCTAGTCACAATCCCCAGCTTTGGCTGCAGTCAATATCCAGTGATTCATCTTGGACTCTTCCCCTGTAGGTGTTTTTGTAATAGAATTGGGAATGGAAGCAATGTGGTCTAGTAGAGAGGTCAGTGGGCTAAGAGTCAAAAGATTGGGTTCAATTTCCAACGTTTCCACTTCCTACAGTGTGTGGCTTTAGGCATTTTGGATGTCTGCTTCTGTTTCTGGTCTCTGTTGTCTGTTTAGATTGCAAATATAAAAAGGGCAGGGGCTTTCTTATTATGTGCTCATTGTGTCTGCCAGAATGGGGACCCTGATCCCAAGTGAGATATCCAGGTGCTTCTGGAATATCAGTAATAATATTAATTGTTATTTTGTCCTTTTTTTCTGAATCTTCTGCTACCCACTACTGTAGAATTTGGGGCTTATCCCTACTGATTGCCTATCAATATAAAGACTGAGAGGGCCCCAGGAAGGGTTTTGCTGTCAAGTAGCCTGTGTGTTTGGTAATGCTCTCCTCAATGGTCAAAGGTATCTACAGCTCTGTTTGGAATCTGTATATAGTGACTATGGGTAAGACCTCTCATATTAGCCTGAGATTTTTCAAAAAGGCTCAGTTTGGACTTGTCTCTGTACTTACTGAAGCCCATGAAAGCTTTTACCATTGGGCCTCGTTTGAACAAGGTTCAGCCAATGTTGAAATGTCAAGGTGAGCAGTCAAAAATGGAGGCAAACAAACTTGGACATTTTGCAAATGATTTGGTCTAAACTTTTTATAGGGGTTGTGATATCACAGTCTTGGGCAGGGGGTGAGGCGGGGTGGGGGGCAGGGCAGGACAGGACACCGGCCCCAGGTCCCCAGTTGGAGTGGAGGAAGGGAGTGCAAAAAAAGCAGCCATTGCAGTTCTCATCTAGCCATGCTACTACATCCACCAGCCACCACTGCCCTGTGTACTACTGCTGCCCAGTGTGTACAACTGTGCTGTTATACTGCTCCTCCCTCTGTCCCTCACTCTCTAATGTTTACTAGAGCACAACTCTCATTCTTTAATTCTAGTGTCATGACAGCAAAAGTGTTGGGGCAGGGGTATTGTGTCATATGTACTGAATACTGTCATGCTGACTACCTGTGAAGCTCTTATAACTACCAATTGTACTGATAGCCTTATTCCTGATGCTGGCTTTCTGTTTTGTCTTGGGCAGCACTTTTACAGGCAGTAATAGCCAGTGATCTTCTGAAGGTAAGTACAGCAGGCTGAATGTCTGTTTCTTCACAGCAATTTGCAAGTTTTCACTGTTAATTTATACTTTATTCTCCTTCAGAGCACAGTTAAGTGCTGTAAGGATAAATAGCCAAATGCCATTTTACAGTCCTTCCTGGAAACCTTGCACATTAAAGGAACATCAGCCAGGTGAGGTGTGACATTCAAGTGAATAAGATCTAGTGTTATACCATATCTTTCATATGCCTTTCATACCATTTGGGTAGTTACTAATGGTGAAGTGAGTATGTTGGCAAACGCAGCAACTAAGCAAGACAGTTGTTCCAACACAGACTTGCACAACAAAACATGTTTTACTGATATGAGAACATTGGCCAGGACACTGAAGTTGTTTCTGTTTCTTTACAAAGAACATACAGAGATTTTTAACTTCTACCTAGAGAACCCTAAATGCAGGCAGAAAGGAATTCGGTTTTGCATCTCATGTTATGATGGATGGCAGTTACAACAGTTCATTAGTCTCTTCTCTTTGCACTGCACTTCAATCTGAGTATTGATTATGAGCCAATCTCTAGTCCATTTAGTACAGCTTGAAACCCAAGAAATCTTGGTTTAGCTTTCAGTGCCAACTTCTGCTAATTCTCTCTTGAGGGCAGACCGGGAGCAGGAGCAGAGGAAAAGTGTCTCACTCCTATATAAGTATACCGTGCCTCTTCTGACAATTGTAGTCCCTATTTTTCACTAGGTGTTCACAAATGTACCCCTGATTTGGGGTGAGTATTGTGATTAATGATTGCCCTGTTAACTAAGAAAAAGCCTTTGTGAAGCCATTTGTAAAAGTGACAGCTCTATTACTGCAGTTCTTTGCCTTCAGATATACACTTCAACACCTCTGCCTCCATTACCCAGTGGCAGGAGCAGCAGTTAGGATTCATGGTAGCCACCATACAGGAAATATCTCCCTCCTTGGTATTGTATCCTGTTCTGAATTTTGAAGCATGGTTTCCCCCATTCCTTAAAGCATTCTCACAATGTTCAGATCATCTTTGACTTTATTTTGAGTGGAGAACTTGTTCTCTCTTCTCAGATGCATTGTGACTTTGTGCCATGACATAATCATGCCCCGTTGTCCTATTTTAGTTCTGGCACTGTCACACACTGTGAATTGCAAGCTGTCAGGGCCTCCAGCACATTTTAAAATAAGCCACTCTCTTTTACTGCCCTCCCAAACTGGATCATCCCCCTTAGGAGGTCCAAGATAGTTGGAGATACCAGAAAGTATATGAATAAAAAAGGAGGAGATATCCTGTCTGATCTCAGCTACACTGGTTTCCCAAAGGGCAGGAATTAGAGACTGAGTTGGGTGGGGGAGAGAACTGGATTTTAAAACATTCTTCCTGTGATGCCAGCTGCAAATGCATACATTGTATATTTAGTAATGGCCTCATTGATGCTCAGATTGTCACTGTTTTTGAAAATATTCACGAAGATAAAAGGATCAATTATTTTTGTAGCAACTCTGACAACACAAAATCCATACACAGGCTATTCATAAAATCCATGAACAGACCCTAGCATCGGCACTGTAATATGTATGTAGTCATAAAAACACAGTGATCCATCCCACATAATTTAACCAGAAACACACTCATGTGTATCGTGCAATGGATTCCCCATCCCCCTGGCTAAAATGCAGTGCCCGTGGCATACATTGTTCTTGCCAAGTTGCTTTGGTGGATCACAGGGGTCCCATGACCACAGTATGTCATGTTAGATGCCATCTGGCTGGGAGTCTGCCTGTTGTAGGTTAACGGAGTTACTAGGTACTTGGACTACAATTCCCTTGGAACACTCTGGATTTTTTGTATAAAAATGTTTTGATTTGGTCTGGAAACTTTGGGGTTTTGTAAATTCAGAATCTTTTTAAAGCCAGAATTCACTGCTGAAAGATGATGCTCGTGAGGAAAATGTAATTGAAAAGCCGATTTTTATATTAAGTGGAACTGTTTCAAAAGAATTATTTTTCCATAATTCCTACCTGAAAGCAAGAATTCATTGACAGATCTCAGCAGTGAGCCAGCACTTCAAAAATGTCATTTGCTCTTGTTCACGCATTGCTTTTGTTTTAGGTCAGAAGACTTTGCTCTGCAGTATAAATTCCTGCAACTTTTAGTTAACAACTCCTGCTGCTTTTTTAATCACCCGCTAGCAAATGTAATGGTTAATTTACTTGATATTTCTTTACCTGTGCATGCTGTCATACAATTATCTTGTCCTTTTCCCATGAATTTATATTACAGTTCATTGAATGCTGTAAAAAAGGAGCTAACCTGTTAATCCAGGGACCTGACCACTGTTCCTTGCTTCACCATGCTGCCAAAACTGGGAACAGTGAGATTGTAAAATACATCTTGGAGCACGGTGAGTAATTTTTGCAAATTATGGGCAGTCACATGGCATACTGAGCACAAAGAACCATGCTTATTCTTCATCACTGTGGCCTCCTGCAACGTATAGATAGAGATTAGAAGTATGAAAGAAGTGTTAAACCTGGAGTTAAGAGTTACCTCTACTGTCTCTGTGGCAACCCCAAAATCACTGCTGAGAAATGACCCCTCCTGATCTACATGCTGAAAAATTATCTTGTGGTTACCATTAGAACAATGCCAGGCATGCTCGGATCTTCTTTTGGTAGTGTACCTGAGACTGAGATCCTGAGAGCGTCCTTGGGCATGCCCCACTATCAGCCACACAATGTTATTTCAGTGAGTGCGTGAGTGAGTGAGTGTACAGGGTGGTGTACAGGGTGGATCACCACTCTCAGTGGTGATCTCAGGATAGCTGTGCAGGCAGTATAGACAAGCCCAAAGAATGAAGAGTATAAGAGGACAGCTTTAGATTAGACCAGTTATTTTAATAGATTTGAATATTATAAAGCCAGGACCATTAGGGTGGGATAGCCTGACCTCTTGCAAAGCAAGTCACAGGAGTATCCTGAATTAATTCCTGTTTAAACATGACCAGCTCTTTCAGAAAACATCCAACTTCAATGAAAAGATTTACAGAGATGGAGGATCCACCATGACCCTGGCTAGGTTTTTCCACTGTGGCCTGTTTATTCCTCATTTCCTTCTCTTGTCTACCTTCCCCTGTATTTCCCTCAGACACCCTCAGAATACATGTAGATACTGGAATTTTGGCATAGTTAGACTCTAGAAATAAAATAATTCAACATAGTAGGAACGTGAACAGGAAATCCATGACACCTTCTTCAGCAAGTAGAGAGCATATGAGATGGTATGGTCAGGTTAAACAAAGACGAAACGTAAGTTATGTGAATAACAGTCCAGTTTTTCACCACATGGCAAGAACACTTTGCCACTTTTCTAGGCCATTAAGTCTCTGGACAGCTGAATGGGATTTTAAGAATGCACAAGTAGAGGTCTTCTCTCTGCTTTTCAATTGCCACCAAACATTAACGAGAAGAAATTCTACACTCTCTCCAAGTCAAGTTGCTGAAGTTTTATCAGTGTTCTTTCCTTTTCTATAGTACTTTCAAATGTTATCTGGCCCTGGCACTTTATCAACATTCAGAGTACCAAGCATATTAATTGGGGCCTTGGATCCAGAACTGGCTTTAGGGGAAATGGTGCCCTTGGTGAACTTGTATCTTGGTGCTCCCCTCCACTGGCACCTCTTTAGTACTGCCCTCCCCCCCCCCAAGTCAGTAGTGCTGCTGCAGGCACAGGCAGGCAGGCAGGGGTGTGGGGTACAGTCTGGTGGGGGCGCAGAATGGCATGATTTGCCAGTTGGTTGGGCACCGCTGCTGCCATCTGCACTGCCCTGCCCAGCTCCTCCTGAGTAGCAGCTGGAGGCAGGTGGGGCTGAGCACCACTCCTCCTGCCTGCGGTGGGGATCGGCTAGAAGTGGGGTGGGGTGGGGGGAGAGCTTTGTTGTGAGCACGGGTTGCTCACATGTGCGTGTGTGTGTGTGTGTGTGTGTGTGTGTGTGGCACCCCCCTGACCTTAGCACCCGGGGCAGTTGCCCACATTGCCCACCCATAAAGCGCCAGTGTGGACCTTATCGGACACTTTCAGATTTCACTTATAAATCAAGCTTCTCAGATCAAGCTACCACTCTTCCTTGATCATGTGGGGAAATAATAAGAATGGCTTTCATCCTTGCTATTGCCTCACACCCTGCCCAGTCATACACCCCTTTGGTCTGCCCACCTGCCTGTGAGTGATTGGATGTAGTTAGCATTCATGGGAGTCACATGGTAAAATACTTTCCAGGGCACTGTGCTGAAAATCTATCCTTAACACATGTAGGAAAATGTTTTGAATGTAAAAATAACTTAAGTACATCTTTCAGCTCTGTAATGCTGAACTAGTAGGTGGAATAAAATGCGGTACTGAAATGGGAAGTCCCATCTCAGCTTTACAAAGGTCTAGGGAGGAAGGAAGATGATGCACTAATGTAGTAACTGTCCTTCACAATGGTGCACCTGAGCTGAAGGCACCCAAGGGTCCTGCGCTTGATTTGAAATACTTCAGGGTTTAAAGATAAAGAGGCCCTCTTGGATTAGAAAAAAAGAGTGGTTAGTCATGCAAAGATTTCTCACACAGTGTATCTATTAGGGGGCTAGCACTAAGCCTGAATGCCAATGCAGGAACAAACTCAATATCAGAATCACTGCTCTTTATTGCTATGAGATCAGCTCTGGGATGGCTGCTGAGGTTGCTGTAACAAATAAGTTTTCCTCTTTCCCGCAACTGCCCTCCCTAAAATTGTTCCCAGAATTCCCAGGCAGGAAGACCCACATTCTTTAGGAGCTATATGTAGTTATGCCAAAAGACACCCCACCAGCATAGTTAGTCTGTTATCATACACTGATAAATCCACCTTAAGAGAATGAAGAAGTCCTTGTGTGGATAATCAAGGTGTATGCAAGCGGGGAAGGCTTAACCAGTTTGGATGGAAAAGTAACCCCTTGCCTCATCATTTGTATTTGGAATCAAACTTGACCATGAGTGCTTATATGGCAGTTCTGAAATTTTTGCCCTTTGAGAGAGGTGAAAGTATGCATTGCCCTTTTCTTCCCCTTCTCATAAAGTAGAGTAGGATATTTTCTGTCTTCTCCACTACAAATCCAGGAGGTAAAGGACCCAGTAACTCTTTTGGCAGAACAGTGGGAAGTCACTTCTAGATATCTGCTAACTTTCTTTTGCCATCAGGCTGAGCTAATGCAATGCCAGACTACATAAGCTGAGCAGTGCCCCCAGTCTTCAGCATTTCTCTGATCCCAAGTCTCAGCAGCCTTTTTGCCTTGACACGATTAAGGCAAAGTTCTACACTGAAAAATGACACAGGCTGCATCCTTCCTATTCAGTAGATCTGCTCCTTGTGTGAATTCAGAGTCAGACCAGATTATGCTGCTAATCAAGACACAGTTTTGCTATTGGTAGCACTGAAAAATGAACTCAAGTCTGGCAGTTGAGCTGGATGCTGGTTCAGCACACTGACTTGTTAGTCAAATTCCAACTGGAGGGCTAAATATTGTCCTCCGTTACCAAAGGCCCAGGTGTTGTATGCATCTTGTAAAGGCAAAACTGGAGGATGATGAGGTTGCAGAAGTCTAAACGAAGCATTTGGTCTGCGGTTTTTATAGCTAGGGATGCTGAAAAGACATAAGCCAAGCAGATAAGTTTGGCTTTCCTATCCCAGTTTGAAGCTGCCTGAGAAGAATTTCCCCCCTTTTTTGTGTTCAATGAGCAAATCCAATATGAAATTATTAAGATGCAATAAACATGGAAATACACAGGGCCTGTTCTCAGAGGGGACCCCTCCCTTAAATCATGATGGAGACCCTGAGCAAGTCCTTGTTATATGATCTCTGTTAATCTCTATAGGGAATGAAATTTAAGTGTATATGCATGTGTGAGGGGGGGTCTGAGGAGTTCTCTAATGTTGCATACATGCATCTTTCAAATATACTCCTTATTTTAAGGCTAGGAAATAAATCCTCCAAACATATATTTCGTCTTCCAAATATTGGTGATAACGCCAAGGTTTTGCCCAGGCAAGGTGAACTAAACAGCCATGGAGGCTGACAGCTTCAAATATTACTTCTTAAAGAAAATTGGCTTTCTTTTCCCCAGTTTAATGAAGTGGGGTCAAAGAGTATATTTGACTGAGGTTTATGGGCCTCCTGGGTAACTGAGTAAGTGTAACACTCCAGGTTGGAGGGGGTAGAGTATGCAGCACACATTGAGGACTTTCAGCCTGAATGGTGCCGTATATTTTGGAAATGCCTCTGAAATGCTGTCATTTAGTTTCTCTTTTATGTTGCAATGAGCTCAGCTCAGTTAAAAGGCAGCTGTCTGCTTTTAAACATCTCTCTCCTTCCCTTTCTCTCTCCCTTCCCCAAGACTCAGGCTGCTTTGCCTCCTGAGAATCAGAAAGTGGGCTTGGTGAGCTGAAAGAGGAGTAGGAGAAAAAAAGTTAACAATTCCACACAGAGTGACTCTCAGAGACATTAAGGACAGAGAGTGATCCCAGCTGGGCTTCCCCCCAGTGGTTCGTGCTTTTCAGCTCCTTTCAAGCGAGCTTCCCCCCCTTCCTACTCCTCTTTCTTTTCCTGAGACTTTTTTTTCTTATTCTTTCACCTCCCCACACATTTCTACTTTTGTTTTTATTTTGCCCCCTGCTGTTTTTCTTGATAGAAATCTCACTCATGCATTTCCCTTCCGGATTTCTATTGCGTTATTTTGTCCTCTCTCTCTCTCTGCGCCTTGGCCCCCTTTTCTTTCTTCGTCTCTTGTCCCGGAGTAAAACAGCCGACTCCCCACTGGGGCAGGATGACAGTGCTGTTAGCTTTCCCAGTGCCAGCCTTTCCCACATCTGTGCAGCTTTTGTCCTGCGCCAGAAGGGGATTTGGAATGGTCGGCTGGCAGCGCCAGGGAGACTGATGTAAAAATGAGGTCCAAAAAGAGGGGAAGGGGAATTAGAAGGAGGGCGTGAGATGGTTTGAGAGAAGCTCAACTGAAAGTGAAAAAGACTGCAGCTTAGGAATATGCATGCCTTGGTGCTTCCAATGTCAGCTATAAATACAAAAGAATGCAACAAGCCCCAGCACCATGTTATTCTGCTAATGGCATGACCTCCAGTTTCTGACCCCTCAAACTTGGCTGGGATGCAGTTGGGGTGTTCGGATGAAAGTCTTAGTTCAGTGTAATACTCCACAGAGCCCCCCCTTGTGCCCAGAGCACATGCTGGCTTCCTTAATTATATATTTTGATAATGTCTTCTCAGCTCCTTGCAAGTTAGGCCTTCCCTCTCCACCCTGCTTTCATCTCTGTTTCTATCTCATGGCAATTTTCCTTTCTCATAGGTTTCCCTGTTAACCAGGCCCAATCCTTCCAACTTGACTCCCTTGCTATTCCAAACCATTCTTTTGTCCATTCTCCTCTCCTTTCCCACTGCCCTAGCCCAGTTTTCCCTCTTACACTTACTATACTCAGCTGGGCACTTTTCACTCTAAGTCCAGTCACTCTGTTCCCCCTGTACTCTCCATCCAGTCAAGGTCCTCTCCATGCCCAAAATAAGTATGCATTTAGAAGAACTGAGGTTTCTGTTTCCTGGCACATTGCAAGTTATCCTGTGAGCCCCGGCAATAAAGCAGACTGAAGGGAAATAGCAAGGAATGGAAAAGCACCTGCTCTGGAAGAATTTATTTGCCTCAAAGGAGAACTCTTCAGCTGACAGACTCCAGGGTTTCATTTTCCTTTGTTGTGTGTTGCTAATGGAATACCAACATTCATGTTTCTTGCTCTCCCTCCCTTGCAGGGCCTCAAAAATTCTCACATTTCCTAACTTCCTCCATGCTCATAGGCCCTTGGTTATGTCCTTCTAAGTGAGGAGGATTGAATGCAAAATACCTTGATGTTGCTCCTGAGTCAACTAATGGGATTGTTTGACATCATGATTAGTATTTTCATGGAACCTGGAAAATGTAAAGATCCATAATTGTACAAAGAATTAGTACTGCTGGTAGATTGATGGTACCTCCTTCCCCACTGGCACCCAGAGGGCCTGTTTGGATTTGAGAAGAACAGGCAGGCAGCAGGATTCCTTAAAGATTTTTAGTATAGAAGGGTGGAAGGGTTAATTTTCTGACCACATTCCTCTCATAAAGTAAGAATGGAGTTTAGTGAGCTTCCTGCAGTTCAAGGGCTGGGCTAGGTAGACCTCTAGAAGCATGTGAGTTGCTTGCTTGAGTATGCAGTCACCTGAGCAGTGTCCTCATCCCTCTAATCACATCCATGGGAAAAGAGCAAAAGAAGGAAAAGAAAGGTTCTGTATAGAGTGTGAAACTTGATGGTTTGAGATGTGGATTTCTCTAAATGTTTTAAGGCTGTTCAATATGAAAGTCAAAGTGAAGTTTAGAGAATACATACAGGAAGTGAAACCTCAAAGAAAAGTTCACCATATCCACTGCTGACCAAACTCACAGTGTTTGGTGGCACAGTTGTACTAGAGAGAATAATTACCCAGACAGCAAAGGAATATTTTTTCTGGTATAGAACTCTTCCATCTACCTCCCATTTTTTTCTCTCTGAAATGGCCTGAACTGTAATTCAAATAATGGCACTTGCTGCGGTAAATATTTGGCTGTGAAAATCAAGGACAAAAGATCATTCAGTTAAGCAGGCTGTCTTTTTCCTCCACCCCCCTCTCTTTTTTGTTGTTGTTGTTATCTTGTTCCAATAGTTATTAACTGCTAGGATACAAGATTTGCACATCAGGATATAAACATTCTGTAAAAAACATTTGCCTTGATTTATACCACTTGTGATACAGTTTAATGAAATGGTGCAAGCCTGTCAGTCAGGACAGAATTTGCCTAATTTCAACTTCTTTATTGTACTAATATGTTATGGTAACGTACAACCGATGTTGTAGCTGTGATGGTCCAGAAATTATGCGAGAGACAAAGATTTCTTAAGGTGATATCTTTTACTGGATCAACTGTGTAGTTAGGATAGAGTCTAACTCTATCCCAGTAGCGGGCATGAAGGGTAAATTCTATCCCAACTACATAGTTGATCCAAGAAAAGATACCACCCTAAGAAATCCTTGCCTCTCACATAATTGTACTAACAATACTTGCAACTTATAGTACTTAGGGTTTATCCTTTTCCATGTGCTATACTCATGAACCAATTTATTGACCAAGGTAAAGAGCAGGAAAATAATTTAATGCATTTTCAATCCAAATATACTTTGGGGAAATTCCTGCTTCCATGTGCTTACAAGTCACCCATGGTCGTGCAGTTGAGTTTTGTTACTACAGATACTTAGGGCAAACAAATATGATCTTGACTTCCCCATACAGTAAGTTTTTAATTAGCTTCCCTTGAGCCTTTACAGCAGAATTGTGATTCTGAGAGTCAAGCTTCTTGTCACAGAACATAAACAATGCCATTTGACTTGCTTGACTCTCTTTCTCAGGTCCCTCTGAGTTGCTGGATATGACAGATAGTGAAACGTAAGTACTGCCCATTGACTAGTTCTTTTGGTCCAGTTTGCTTATTTTAATCCAGTGATTTATTCTAGTTTATGCCTAGGAGATTTCTCTTGATGCAATACAAAGGTTCAAACAATAAATGCATGAAAATGTCAGGTACTTAAAAAAAAACCAAAAACCCAACCACATGAACACCAAGCCTCCTCTGGGCACCCAGTATAACCCTACTGTATCTTCTCCTAATCCACCTAAGTTTTCTTATAGAAAACAGGTGAATGTTTCACTTTATCCTGATATTCACTGACTCTGGGCTCTAGGGCTAGGGACAGACATTCAAAAAGCCGGAGCCTGAATTGATTCAATCTTTGCAGGTTAGTCTACCCTGCAAAGCTTGAACTGATTTGGAGGTGGATAGACATTCCCTTTTCATTCCAGAAATGCAGGTACATGTCTGCAGTGGCTCAGGCTAGAAGCTGGGGTGCACTAGAGCAGTCTTCCCTTCCCTTCCACAATACTGAGCTGGGGGCCTGGCCATGCCAGGCCCCTACAGGACACTCTGATTAGCATAGCAGGGAATTGATAACAGTGTTTCTTGCCCCCTAATTCAGTGTTTATCACCCCATTAAGAAAACAGAGGGACATTACCAGCTACCTGTTGATTCTGCCTTTGTCAAGCACAGACCGTAGCCAGCATGTGGTCTGCTACACATATACCTCTCAGAAAGGCAGAGGGGAGGGGGGAATTCCTGCTTAGCAGGGAGTGGTGAAGATGGGGGGAGCAGACTTCAAGTCTCTGCTGGAGCTGCAGCCAGGAAGCAGGGGGGTGGAGCCAGAGAGCATGCTTATGCTGAGAGAGCTTTGCTGAGCAGAGAGCCCCGCCCAGCTGAGAGAGCATGCTGGGATGCTGGGAGTGTCTGGTTTAACTTAAACCAGCAAGGGGGCTGAGGCAGACATTGCACAAACTGGTTTGACCCAAATCAGTTAAGTCTGATACTATATTCAACCCGGTTTATCTCAGTTGCTTTCAACCATTTTTAAACTGGCTTATGTGCACTGAACATCTGTTCTGTTACAGGTTTAAACCAGTTTCTGAGCACTTAAACTGGTTTATATGTAATGTCTGTCCCTAGCCTAGGAGATCACATTGAGCCATAAATTCCAAGGCCAAGAGTGAACTTCTTGCTGCTAAAACTTTGTCATTATTGCTATCCAGATTCATCTGGGGCAGCTGACGTAGATGATGGCTACTTCAGCTGCCCCAGATGATGGCTACTTCAGCTGCCCCAGATGATTGCAGCTGGCAGACTATGACACAAGCAGAGAAGACTCTCTCTAGAACAGGGTAAAGCCAACTCAGTTTATAGCTGCTGTATAACCCTTTTATGCCAGCTATACTAAACTGCCACAAAGAGGGTATTGGGTAAACATATTTCTTCCTCAGAAGTATCCCAATTAAAAGGGGCCCCTCTACCAGGCAAAGACCAAGGCTACTAAATCTTTCCCCATTTGCAGAGGAACTACATATGCTGCAGGGAGCTATAGCCTTCTCCAGAAGGGCTATAGAAAGGCAGGGGTTAGAGGGGTTGATGCACCAATGGTTCTTTCATGCGATGGCTCAACAATTCCATTACAAGAAAAATGCAAGTTCAGTGATTTCTCAGGACTTCCCTGTGACAAGGTTTGAATCATCTACCAGCTGCTCCTGAAAAAGATGTCCATGTAATTTTCCCTATGTCGTTGCCCAGGCCACATGACCAGCAAAGGCATGATTTTGTCCTGTGCTCCTCATTTGGAAATCAGTTGGTATCCAAAGCTGAATCAGAGCCAGAGGAGATTTTGTCACACTGATGCCCATTAATATTTCAGCTTGCCCTTCCACCTATGCCAAGCCTGAAGTTCCTTTGCATGCCTGCAAAGCCAGTGCTGTGCTACTGCAGCTTAGCTCTTGCTGTCTGTGTTGATCAGAGATGCATAATGGCATCCCCAGTTTGATGCTGATGTTAAGGCAGAGGCGTAGCTGGCAAGTATTGTGCCCTGGGTGGTAATGTGAATCTCCCACCCCCAGACTCCTACCCCACATCTCACACCTTCCCTGTTCTGGTTCTGACACCAGGGAGGGCAAGAGCAGTGGTGGCAATGCAGGAGCAGTGGCAGGAGGCTTGCTGCTGCCAGGGGAAATGTCACCCCTGAGCTTTTTCTACTGATGTTAAAAATGCACCAGTTCTCACCAGTAAAAAAGGGGGTGTCATCTCCCCCAACAGCATCAAACCACCAGCTGCTGTTCCTCCACCGCACACCTCCCAGCTGCCAGAGCCAGAGCTTCTGCAGGGACAGTGTTGGGTATAGGGAGATGGGGTGCCAGGAGGATGAAGTGCCCCCAGCTTCATTCTAGCTGGCCTCTGCTTTAGGCAGTGCCCAGGGCTATGCTGTGCTCACCCGCCCATCATTACATTACTGCATGAAGGGCTCCCTTCACCTATCCAAAGCACTTCTCTTCCTAGGCAGATCCCAATAGAAGTGCTTCATCCTCAGAGGTATAGTGAGACTTCCTCAGCATCCTGTGAGGCCCTGTTTTAGCATGCCAGGCAGCCATAACAAAATCAGGGCTGTCCAGTAAAAACGTAAATGAATAAAGCTTTAAACCTGAACTCAGATCTCCAGCAGTGGAGAACTAGAATACTTCCTCCCTGCTATAGGTCAGGGAGAGTAGGGCTGGAGCCAGAGTTTGGGTAACAATACAGTGAAAGAGCTGTCTTGGGTTTGCAGGATTTTTCTGCCCATCCCACATCCTGCTTCCAAGAGACAAAATATCGTATTGTTTAGTTTGGGTAGAAACAGTAGGGAAGAAAGCCCTCACTATATACTGCACAGTGAAACTAAAAAAGGCAGATATCTTGCTTTTACAGCAGGCAGTAGAGCCTGGATGAGAATGAGACATCTAGCCTCTGTTAAGACCACAGAAGGCAGCAACTCTTTTTCCCTTCCATACCACCCAGAAGTCCTCAGTCCCCCATTTATTCATCATGTGAGAACTGGCTGAGCCAGAAGGCATGCACACTGACTGAGAGCATGTGCACATGTGCACATGTCAGCAACAAAGATAAAAGAAGAGAGTCCCACAAAAAAATGTTGTCCTCCTACCGTGTTTCTTAAATTATAATTGGTGAAAGGTTCCTTACTGCTGCTTTCCTCTGCTTTGGTGTAGGGGTGAGACAGCATTGCACAAAGCGGCCTGCCAGCGCCATCGTGCCATCTGCCAACTCTTGGTGGATGCGGGAGCGTCTCTGAGAAAGACAGATTCCAAGGTAATGCAATCAAATGAACCAATTATAAAGCACTTCAGACAAGCGAGACCAATCAGCATCCATCCCTGCTGTGTGCATGATTGAGACTCTCTGTGTGTGCTGGGAGCATTTCTTTTTAGAAAAAGGCATTTTATTTAGAAAAATGTATTGATATAAATAACTGCAAGAGCCTCCAGTTAAATCCCCAACCTGGGTCATCTTCACCATAGTGATAGCCTAGCCTGAAGCTATTCAGCAGTTGAATATCAGTGAGGCATCTCCATGGCAAAACAGCATCAACAATCTTTGTTGTTGAAAGAAAGACCTGGATGTGGAGACCACCTGTTGGGATTTGTGATTTCTGATTTGATGGTGACTATATGAAGTTTGGTGGTTGTGACTGACTTGTTCTGTGGGGCAAAACTTTTCTTTGTCCCTGCTTTCCCCTGCTTATCAAAGCTAAACTCAGCCTCCCCAAGTGCCCACTTAGTGCAAATTAAAGATAGAATGAAGCTAACAGAACAATCTGAGCATGAGGAAAACTTTCCATCAAAAATTAGATGCTAAGAATATTTAATAGGTACAGCAGACTGACTGACTGAAGATCTTCAGGTTTCTAAAAACAAGCATAAATGGGAACATGGAAAGACAGTTGGTTAGGAAGACACCACTGTCACATTACATTGAGTATCAGGTTTTTTGCAACCTTAGTTGGCTAGCCGTAGAGGTGATGTGGACAATGATGCTACGTGAACTGCACTCTTGGAAAGAAGCTGGTAACAGCAGATAATCTATGGGCCATGGCTGAGAAATATGATGAAAAGGCATGAAGAATCAAGCTGGAAATTGAGCTTTTGTACTTAATAGCTACACACAGTTGTTTTTTTTTAAACTATTATTATTACGTTATGCAATGCAGAATTATCCTGTTTTCCAATGAAGGATCACATTATCCTTTTGGGTGACACCACTGTTGACATCAGGAGGCAGACTATAACTTTCAGGAAAAACTAGAATGCAAACAAGGGGTTAGTGACACGCATCTGATCTTTATCACTCAAGAGATACAAGGAACACCCATGTTTATGTGAACAGTATTGAAGCATTTTCAGTGGCTCAGGATCCAGATTCTTGATTCCAGTTATAGCACTCTTAAAATAAGTTAAATTCTGTGTATAAAGTCCTGGGCAGCAGTAAGATGCATGAAAGTTTGATTAACAGCTGCAGCAGCCCAACAGGTCTCTGTCTCTCCCTTCACATCCTTTGTAGAAGTGGTCTTTGAGGGTCTCACTACATGTCTCAGCTACAATATGGTACAATGTTCCCCGGTAGAGACTTCAGTGAGTGGATGGGAATTGTGTTAAATCTATTTTAGTGTGTGGATACCATTTGTCAAGCAGTGAATGGCATTTCTTTATAAAGCTGAAATATATAACTGTGATGGTTCCACAGAAGATAAGCAGGAAGGTATCAACCGGTAGGTGGCTAGTTCTATGAACCAAACGCATGAAACAGAGTGAGTTGGTTCTCACGGAGAATCTCAACTTGACTCCAGCTGAGCTGGTTCTTGACTTGTCCGCTTTTGTGATGATCTTTTTGTACTTCCAGTGGTACTTACTTTGGGTCACAAATTTATCTTGTCTTCTAAAAACATGTCTACAGTTTTCTCTCTGTGTCCCTTCAATGTAGGGTAAGACGCCTCGAGACAGGGCTCAGCAAGCTGGGGACCCAGATTTGGCTGCCTACCTGGAGAGTCGTCAGAACTACCAGATGGTTTCCCACGAGGACCTGGAGACAGCTGTCTGATGCCTGTGGACAGGAGGAGACAAACCAAGGAAATAACAAGGCCGCACCTTAGGCGCTCGGGCATCATATGAGGAAAGAAGCTGATGGGATCACCGTGTCTCACTCTCATGCAAATTATCTGAGGACATGCCACTGGTTTCTAAGGGCTACTGAGTCTTGCCATGGAATTGTTAAGTTCCCATATGTTAGCCCATGAAGGATGAGGCAAGACACTCAAAGGTCTGTGGAATCCATAGGCCACGAAAATTTACCTTTACTGCTTCCAGCAAGTAGCATGAACTTCTCCCTTGTTCATCTGTACACTTTATTTTAAAAAAAGGAAAAAAAAAGGGAGGAAAAACTAACTTGGACCTGAAAATACTCAACCAACCCCCTCTTCCATCCCTCCAGTACCTTACGTTCCTTTCACCCTACCTCTTCATTTTTTGTCAGTTAAATAGTATCTCTTATCTCTGTATAAATTCTTCCTAAATGGTCAGGTTAATAGCAAAGAGTTTGAGGAGCTCTGGATACCTGTAGGCTGAGGGAGGGGAAATGACCGTCAAACCTGCTGAGTGCTTTCCTTACTGTTCCCTCAGAAATTGCAGTCTGAACACTTAATTGCTAGGGCATTTCCTCTCTTTTGGAAAGACCTCTCTCAACTGCCCTGTTCTGTGGGGTGCTGGGTTCAGGCAGATTTACAGCACTGGCAAAAGCTCACTTCCTCGTTTAAGGTGTTTTCTTGTAATTCCAGTTGAGTGGAAGGGGGTTGCTTGTATGACAAACTGTGTTCCCTTGGGACAGACCAGTAAGAGGTCGCATATTGCCATTTTGAAGTTAATGAACGATTGATTTTGTCCCAGTCAGAAGCCTGCCTACAACTAGCCATTTTTGGCTTCTATCCAGATGAGCTTTAAAGTGGGGAGAGTGCCGGGTGGTGTGATGGAGTAAAGGTTGATTGACTTACTAGTCATCCCCGATTGACTTACTCCCAGTCATGGAAACCAAATCTGAAGCATTCAGGTACCCAATCAAGGGTTGCTGATGTTAACAAGAAGATGGACACCACATTAGACATTTTGCAAATAACACAACACTATGAGAAAAACATCTGTCTGGAAGTGAAGACTAGTAGATGCCAAGAAGGACTTGGAAAAAAAGCTTTAAAATAATACAGAAAAGAAAAGAGAAGATAAGAGGAAGAGAGCTTATTCTGTTCAAAATAAGACAATTGGCAATCATAAGCCTCTCACTGTAGGGTTAGAAACACACTGCTTAGCTGCTCTGAGGCCATTCTTGGTATTCTTATTTTGCCACTTTCTTTCCTGCCCAAGAGACCACCACCATCGAAAAGGAGACCCTCCTCTACCCGCTGACACCTTTATACACAAGATGTTTGCATTAAGTTTTTCATCACCAATGCAATTTTGGTATCAGAACCATTAGGGCTTCCACTTCCACTTAAACAGATTGCCTCTCATGAGAAGTGTCAAGGCCCAATGCTGTCATCATTTCAGCACTGTTATTTTTGGAAAATCGTTTCTGTGTCTCTTCATATGTTGTAGGGGCCTGATGATTGGTACTAAGCAGGATTTATGTGCAGTTCAGAACCCAGGAAAACAACTTGGGTCCTTTTTCAAATAAGTTCTTCTTCCTTTAGTAGCAGTTGTGGAGATGAAGTTGATGCAATTTCTCTAACTCTTCCTTTCCATCCTTTTATTTATTTATTTTTAAACACAAGTGATTCATATGGCAGAGGAGGAGGAATTAAAGAATAAGCTCTTTCATTGTTCTGGTTTTCAAATCTTTGTTCAATGCTACAAGGTATTTCTCAGCATTTCTTCCTCTGAAAGAAAACTATTGATACCATATAAGTAATCTACAGACCAATGGTAACATGAAATGCATTTTGTTTTATTTTCTCTTCATTTTATCTTTTAATTTAAAAATATATGGTTAAGGCCAAATTGTTCCCTTGGTAATCGGGCAGAAGTTTCCAGGGAGGGCTGGTGTGTGCCTCCCAGCATAGAGTTTAGCCTTGAAAGCAGAAAGCAGAATAAAGTACGTGTGTAGTGTTGGCATCGCTTCCCAGCCTTGGGGAAAGGCAACACTAATGCTTCATACAGTCACATTCAGAAAATGCTAGTATCAGTTATATCTTTTTTTGTGTTCAGTAGGCAAGAAAGTGATGAAGTTGGATGTATATCCTGGGGGAGCTTCTGTCCTGTGCCTAGATGCAGCTAGTCGGGAGCAGTCAGTAAGTGAGCCAGTAAGCTGCCTGATTCTCAAGCCCTGACATCAATTGGAGCAACCTAAGGCCAGCTCTAATTTATGGCAGGTGTCTGCAGTCTATAGGGAACCATGCGCCATCTGTGAATTACTCTAGCAGAGTGGAACTTCATTCGTCTCTGTCCCTGTCTTTCCTTTCCTCCCATCATATTCCTTTTATACCTGAGGAAGTGGCTGACATAGCAGCAGGCTTTGCCAGGTTTACCTCAGCTACGAATTCCCCTCTGCTGGGGTATTCTTGCCTTGGCAGGAGTGGCTAGAATACATCTTCTTTGCACCATTCATGCAGCTTAAAGGAACTGCATCACCAATGAGAATATGGCCTTCCCTTTTCCCTCGGCAGCTGGAAAATGATGCTGTGACTAGAATAAGACTATTGTGCCTCTGGAAAGTTTTTCACAATAAGTGCTCAGTCGGAGGCAGTTACAGTATGATGAAAACAAAACCCCAGACTGGAGATAGAACAGAAATTGGCTGAACATAGTGCCTCTTAATATTCAAGGTGTCCTGAAGCACTTTACAAGCACTGTGTTAGATACTGGCAATGTATTAACTGTGCACATTATTCTGGCAAGGCTCAGGCACAGCCTGCAATACCAGAACTTGGCTCAGTGAAAGAATGAGCATTGGATGTGGACGTAAGGAATTATTCCTTACTCCTTTTGAAGTGCCATGGGTTTCCTGAGGCTAGGTAGCTATCAGGAGCAGGAAGGCTGGACATCAGTTTACTACATCCTTTGTATAGAACCTCTAAGTACTTGGTGCCTGTCTTAGCATGGCATTGTAGTGACTACATTGGGCAGTGTCCATATTCTAGTGTGGGGCTGGGACCTCACTTAAATTGAATTCAATTTAAAACACTTTAATTTATTAAAATATCTGCACTGCAGATATATATATATATATATATATATATATATTATACCTGCTGTTAGGTTTGAATGATGAAGCACTTAGGAACACTCAACCTCTGAAGTTGCTGGATTGCTAGAATATTGTTAGCCCTCCAAATTTGTTTTCATAGGACACCTACCTAAGTAAACTCTAGCAGGTCCTGGATTGCCCCATTGTGATACCTGGACTGTCCCATTTTAAAGTTAATCTAAGGGAAGGAAATATTTATAATGTTAACATATTATTGAACTTCATTTTGTTATTTAACAACATTAGCAACACCTGTTATTTCATATGTCAGTGTTAAATTTATTTATATTTGTGCACGCTATTTGATGAAGCGTGACAAGGCCGTATATTCCTAGATAATTCTAGCACACCTGAGGCAGCATGATGAGACATGAAGCCAAATAATTGACCATGTCATGTATTAGCCCATGATAGGGAGAAGATTTCAAGGCAATTATTGCAGTGGGTTACAAAATGAAGATTAAATGACCCCTTGGGCCTCTCCATTACTAGGTGTATTAGCTGTGAGTATGGCATCACTGATACCCAGTCAAAATAGCACTACAAGCCCCTCATAACAACTTTGTGAAGGCCAGTCTTTGTTTTAGGCCATGCTACAGTTTGAGATCTGTCTACCTACATTGGCACCCATCACCCTACTATCTTCTCAGTGTGAAAACTACAGCAATTGGGAATCATTCAGTATGCATGGGAAGCCTTATAACTTGGGTTTTAAGCTGTTTGTGTGGTGTCCTGTATTACACAGGGAATGTCCCTAGAGCAATACATACCTAAAGAAAATAGAACAAAATCTTTTGTTGCCATTGATCTTCAGTTGTGTTTGTGTGACTGGTGCTGTCCTGGATGAACAAGTGGGCACACAGTTTTGTGGCAGTGTGTTTATATAGCCCTGACAGGCTTGTTCTGGGTTTTCTAACTGCCCCTTTTGCTTTCCTCTCTCTCCACCTTTGTTGTGACAGCAATGTGCATTGTAATGAGCATCATTAACAAACTGGGTATCACCTATATGGTGTGCTGCCAGCTGCTGTTTTCCTTCCAGCCAGCCCCAGATGCTTCATTTGAGGTGCACTTGTGTGTTGATTTGTTCATTGCATCAAATTCTCATTGAGAAGATCTGACTCCAGGGAAAGAGTATTAAATGGGCAAGGTAAATTGGTAGCCTTAAGCTCCTGGGGGCTTTGCATGTGTAATGACACTCAACAGATTCATAGACAGGCTGGATATTTGGATGCCTTGAACATGCTCTGAGGAATTCTATCCAGCTGTCCTGTTCATACATCCTATGTACTGCACTGATAAAATAGTTCCTTGTGCTGATTTATAATTTTTGCTTTCCCCATGTTGTGTCTCCTTCCCCCCACCCACACTTCAGAATAAAGTCAAATAATGAATAATTTATAAATATGATGTTTAAGATTTTGCTTACTACTGTAAGAGTTCCCCTAGCACTCAGAAAAAACAACCCATTTCTTTCTCCACTGTGCTTGACCTTTTCTGTTAGTCAAGCAATGTGTTCACCCTCTTTTTCTCGAGGAACACAAGCCAAAATGGCAATAGGTTGTTTACTTCCTTCCTTGCTTGTCAAAAGCATCATCCATGAGTGTCTTTGACACTGCAGCAGTTCTGGGAACAGCTTGTTAGTAAACGCGTGCCTTGCTGGCTGCCTCCAAAGCAGCACAGCAAACAGTGTTACAGGGTTCCAAATGGTACGTGTCTTTATGTTTTGATTTCAGAGCAACAAATTAGGCAATTATTTCTTCAGTAAATGTTTAAAATCTGGAGGTGCTCCTCACCAGCCTATGCTGATTTGAATGGAGGTCCACGCGTGCTGAAAGTTAAATGCCAGTTTCAATTAAAACAATTTTTAAATGGAAAAGATTTGTGAGATTCTGGGCTCTATCTCCACCTGGGAGTGCCACATAGAACACACAGCTGGGTGGGGAGAAGGGCCTCAAAGGTAACTTTAAGCTATTTTTGTGCCCTCCCGTAGTTCCTGGGGCATTTTATAACAGCTAGATTGTTTGGTAAGCCTAAATTGATACCAGAGGCATAAGACGGTTCTGTGCCCCAGGAAACAGCAATGGCAGAGGCCAGGCAAGCAGTCGTGGCAGTCCCATTATTGCACCCCTTTAAATTGGCACCCGAGACTCATGCCCTGGTTGCCCATCCATAGCTCTGCTCTGGTATCAGTTGATACAGGAGCCACTACTGTAGACATAACCAGGCTAGCATGAGTACCTGTAACAATCTAACTGCAGAAGTCCTTGAGCTCAGCATGCTCTGCAAAATCCACCTGACAGGCAGTGCTGATACTTGGGCAGGTAGCCCATGTTGCACTCCATTTCCAAGCTAGCTTGGGTTGGGCTATGCTACAGCAGTCACATGAGAGGAACAGTAGCATAGGGCATGTTTCCACAGTATGGTTGCTGTACCTAGTAGCAGCACCTTCAAGTGCACCACACTGCTCCCTGCAGAGCTGCCACATAACCAGATACGTTACAACCACATCTGTGGGATGCTTTGGGTGGCTAATTAGCACTGCTGAATGAGAGTGCTATGAAGCCTGCCTCCATGCTAATTAGCCTACTTGCAGTGAATGTGGGTGCAGCTACTGCTGCTGGTTTACAAATCTGCCAGTGCAGGACAGTGTTATGTGTGTGAAGGCACTGACGCCTGGCAAGCGTAGTTTACCATTTATACAACATGGCTTAAGTAACAGGTTGCCCCTAGTCTTCTCCCAGTAGCTTGTCAAGGTGAGAATCTTTCTAGGTGCTGTCTTCTCTGGACTGCTCCCTATACCAGGTGCTTGCGATAGGACCTGCTAAGAACAGTCATCTGCCCTGTGCAGTGTGGGCACCAGACCAATTCTCTTCCTGCTGGATAAGGGATTCAGTGAACCCTATATAGGATGGAAGAAAGAAGAATGATTCCTCAATACTGATTATGCCACAAAAGTCCACTGCCTTTGATTTCAGTGATCCAGCACTTTGTGATTAGGCAGGCTCAGTGCTGAATAGCCTTACTGTACTAAGTGATCAGGTTGCATCTTGTTCCCTGCCTTTTTTTTTTTTTAAATAAGATGATGTGTTCCAGCCTTCAATGCTGTTTCTTATTTCCTTACTGAACATAAAGAAGTTTCTTTCTTCTAAAGGGCACATATGTCCAGTTACTGAGTGTGAGACAAGGAGCCAGTTTAGAAGGTGCCCATTCAGATGTACAGTTGGAGGTAATCTTTTTTAACAAAAGTGTTCTTAGTTTGAACATATGCACATCAATAAATCATCAAAGTTTTAACACTTAGCACTTTTATGTCTATTGAATAATGTTCAGGCTTCTTCCAAATGCAGAAGAGTTTGAAGATCTGAAGGCTAGGGATTCTTTAATAAAAACAGATGTAGTGAAGACAAAATAACTGAAAACTAGAAAGTACCAAACCAAAGTATTTTTATAGCATTCAGTTTCAATTTTTTTTATTAACATGCTTTAAAAATGGAAACTGAACTGGGAGCTCTGTTACAATTCTGAAAGTACAGGTTACCAAGCTTCAAGAGCTACAGCTTTTGTATGTACAGTATGTAGAAGTTACACATGTTAAAAAACACAAGATACTAGCACCTTTCCTATTAGTAATATGGCACAAAGTATATAATTATTTAGATACCATTACTGTTACATTGAGAATACATTATTCCCCAATTAATCCCAATCCATAAAGCTACGTGGGGATATTGTTCAGTGCATGTACAACAGAATTCCAGTATTCTCCTATGACAAGTCTACAGCAGTTATTTCATTGTTAATACATGAAAATGTGTAACAAGTAATTCCTTACCATATGAGTTACTTTAATGAGCAAAATGGCCTCCTGGTTTCCCCAGCCTTAATAACTTTTAATGATATCTTTTTTTCTAGAGCCTTCAACTGGGAAGTGCTGTTGGGCAGAGTTAATGCAGTTCTTATTCCTGTCTAACATGTAGGAAATAGGTGAGTTATAGGGAATGAGAAAAACAGGATGCTTTTGCAATGAGCTCTTACCTAGCTAATTAGACACTAATTGACAGTTTCATTTTTCTAGATTTTTTTTCCCCATGGAGCTCTGTGATATTAGGCAATGCGGAAGGATGAAAGGCTAGAAGAGCAGAGAAAAAGTTAACACACAGAATATATAAGGATACCCTACAGATGGATTCCAGTCTGGGGCATATACAACTTTTTTTTTCCTTCAGGAAGGCAGTTAAAAAATAACAAACAGCTACTGAATATCACTTTAATGAGTAAGTTCATATACCATGACTATATTTGTCCACTTTTTATAAAATGCTCAGCGCTTGTTTTCTTTATAAATGAAGCCTACATTTTAGACTCCTTGTGCAAACCTGTAGCTGTCTATACCCCTCTAGTCCAATCTGCATGAGATCCTCTGCTTTAAATGTATGAGAGCCTTGGAGATAATGAAGAAAGGCTGAAGATGGGGCAATGGTGAATGCTGGCAATTTCTCTCACCCCCACTAACAAGGATTTTCTCCAAATGAAAAACAGTGTTGTGCCACCCTGAAACAAAGTGCTGCTTTTGCCGTAGGCCACTAAGAATATTTTTTTGTGATCAGAGTTGTATTTTTTATAATAGGAAAGATTGATATGTGCAACTTTCATTTGGTTAGTCATGTTGTAGTCCTTCCTTTCAGCCTTCCTCATCTCATGGAAGGATTTATTAAGTGCAAAGCAGTCCGGGACTATACATCAAAACTCCCGGGCTAGCAATAAGGACAGGCAGGGAATGGAATTTTTTTTCCTTGACCTTAATTTAAAATCTTGCAGGTTTCTCCTTACATTTCCTTCCTTCCCTCACCATCCTGTCT